GGTCGCTCCCAAGCAACACATAAAAGTCAACCAAAAACCAAAATGACTTTATTTTGATTTTTAACGTCAATAAACAATTAAATTTTGTAACCATAAATCATCAATTTGAATTTTAAAATAAAAAACATTTTGACTTTCTTTTGAGTTAGTGTGTTAGAGATAGAATCAATCTCGATATAAATATACATATGTATGTATATAATTGATTATAATGCACTTTTATAGGAAAATCTTCGGAAAAATCGTCTTTTATTTATTTTATAGAAAAATTGTCTTTATTAAAAAAGGAAATGCGATATGAAAAGGATATGTATTTTATGGAAGATCACAACTAACAAAGCTCATTAAACAGAAGCCAGCAATGAACCACGCTATTCGCTAAAGTTTTCGAATTAAGATAAGAGCGCCAAGAGCTTCGCGACTCCTTCCAGATGGAGGCTAGGAAACTATTGCTTGTAACGCTCATATTTTCTTCTCCATCTTTCTTCCTCTGACGAGAATGCAAACAAATGAAACGACAATAAGAGCGGACAAAAGATGTGTACGATATCATTACAGAGCGCTGCAAAATTGTAAACAAAAATCTTTGTCTCGAGAGAGCACTCTAGAAGTCTTATCTCATCTACCTTGCACCGATCTTACGTTTCAGTTTGTGCTCGCGTTTAATTCGCGAGGTGTCATGCTAATAATAGCGAACGAATGTGAATCCGATATTTAATAAAAGAGATAGATAAATAGAGGAAAATGTCCTAAATCGGACCTTTTTAATTTAAATAAATACGTATAATATTAAGTAGATTTACGTGCTATTTATAATGTAAAATCCTTATAAGATACCGAATATGTGACAGTAGTTTGGCAGTACTGTCATGACGTTCATAAAATAGACGCAAATATTTTCGGCTATCATATGAAAATTTTTTTAAAAAAGAATATCCTTGTAAATCCTTATTTAAAAGATGTTAAAAATTTAAACGATAATTGATTTAAAATAATTAAAGAGTGTAGAATTCAAGAATATCAAGAGTTTTGTAATTACTTCTGTGGTTTATTGTAAAATTTGTTCCAATAGTTCGAAAGAACCCGTGTCCAAATCGGATCTCTCTTTGGGTATCCAAATCGGACTTATACAAAAAATACTAAAAAGATGAGTAAGCCGTAGCTAATTCATCAAAGAAAGAAAAGGTTCGCCACAACTTGGTTGTAGTACTGATCGACCGACCAGATCTGGTCTAAAGAACACTAAATCAATAAAATATCATATATCATCAGACTCAGACTTGATGGAATTTTTTATTGATTTTAATTCTAATAATATAAACTATATTTTTATCTTTAAGTCTTAAATTGTTTGTTTTTACTCAATACTAACAAAAATTAATTAAAATATTTTAAAATTCTATCTAAAAGTTCATTAAAATAGGAGAGGTCCGATTTGGAACCCATGGTCCGGAATAATCGAACCGGAAAATGCATTTTCCATTATAGTCCGATATAAATAAGAGATACGTCAAAATGGTCTGAAGCAAAAATGAAGGAAATTATAATAAATGATCTTTCGAACGGCACTATTGGTTTTATGATCGGACTTTATTTACGCCTTATAGAGAACAAAAACTGTAAATAGGTCGACTTAGACTACTCTCCCCTATAAGAAAAAGAAATATTGAAATTTTTTAACCATTTTGTGAGAATTTTACATAAAATAAAAATATATAATAATTTTAAAAGAGATACGCTGCTCCGCAAAAGTTACATTTTTCAGTATAAAATAACATGTTCTGAACTTTGAAACAGAACTTTTTCCTTTTTAAGTATAAAATTGTCCTAAAAGGACGAAGTATGTAAATAATTTTCTAACTGTAAATGTGAATTTTTACTACATGTGACTAATGTTGAATTTTTAAAGGTAGATTTACAAAATTGAAGTGTATGAAGTATATGTAAAAATTGTAATATATTCTTGGTCACAAAAATTTCAATATTCATAATTAATAATATAAATGCACATTCATCAATTTTATATAATAAATTTTGATAAACAGTGAAACAAGAGATTATAATTAAGTATTCAGGAAATCTCAACGCTTACGTTAACAAAATTTTATTTCTGTTTATATTTCAATTTTTTATATTTCTATATTCGTAAAAAATACAATACAATAGATTATACCCTTGGGATAATACTACAGTAATTTTCGATAAATTGAATTTTTTGCTTCCTATAAAAATTACGTAACGTCCTCCGAAGTCGTATTTTTTGTAAATCCCGATGTCTTTAATCGCATAGAAAACTCTACAGATCATTTCTTCTCAATCTCGCTACCAATCTGCGCCACCCCTATCGCGAAAAGATGCGTTTCAAGTCGCTGATCGCAATTTTCCCGTGATTGGAAGTAAACTCAATCTCATCGCAACCTTGACATCGTCTTCAGCGCCCCTCACCTCGCCGCGCGAAACAGATAGCCCGGGTAAATTATTCAAAACGTATCCTCTATGATCTATGGAGACGCCCTTAATCCTGGCACCGGCAATCCATCCTCCCTTTGCTTTCTCCTTCCTTCACCCTCTCATCCTATCGACCAGCCTGTCCGTTCGTACCGCAAAACTCACCTCTTCTCACCCCTTCACTCTTGTCTCTCTCATCTCTTCTTCCACCTTCTGGATCTTGCCAGTTTTCCATCCCCTCGTCACTCTCGGTTTCTCTTTCATCCTTCTCCTCGACTCTTCGCCGCTTCTTCTGAATCGTGCACACCATCCCCGGGGTATTCCGACTTTTCTGACAGCCACCACCGCATTTATCCCATCCAACGTCTCCGGACGAGCTTACAAAGAGACGGAATTCAATAAGTCCGATAACGTGCGAGTCTTTCGCGATATATAGAAAGCTTTAGTTGTTCCCGATAATCACCAACGTATTGATTTCGTCAACGCGAACACACTTGGACGTTATTCGAATCGACTAAGCAATCTATGATCATTCCAGTGCAGGGTTTCAGATTTATAACATTTTAAGTTCTAAGAAGGAAAGGTTCGCAATTCAAGCAAGAGTTGGAAAGCTTAGTAAATAATATTTTGAAATTATTAATACGCGCGCAGTAACGTTAATAAAGAATATTAATTTTGTTAGACTAATTGTATTATATTATGTTTTTATATTAATAGTACAATTATTTTATCGTTAGTATTTTTACATTATATTTTAGAGATAATGGTTATTGTACAATATATTGTAACACATACCATTGTAAAAGTTTAAAATAACGTATTAATTTTAAGCTCTTTGAATTTTACGAGAAAATAAAATGATAACCATGAAAGAAAGAATACAGATATCTTGCAATAGCAGACATTACTGGCACAAATATATAACATTAATATCTCAATATAATATTAAACAGCATATAACATATAATAGATATATTACCGCATTTAAAATAATTAATAAAGAGCTCTCTTTCATTAGCGGCAAAGACTGCGAAACGTTTTTACAAAATGACTATACGCGTAGCAATGGAAAATTGGTGAAGTAAAGGCGAAGCTCAATAACACATCTCATCGTATATATTCCGAATGGAGCGTGTCTTTTCTCGTAAGATGGAAAAAACGTGTCTAGCTGCGTTAAATTCTTTTTCGCGGCAAACTACCGCGCACCGGCTGCTATTCTCACCCTGGAAGTCGTTCCGCAGTCGAGTGTTTTCGTGGATAATATTGTATCGAGCAACACCACACCGCGATACAATACCGCTGCGTCACATGCCGACAAGTATCGGCTTTACGTCGTGTACGTATCTTAACAGCCCCTCGCGCCGATTTGCACGAGTGCATTCGATCGCGCTTTGTACTTTTATTACAATCGAGATAGAGAAAGGTTACATAATAAAATAAGGTACTCGCTAAATTTCTTGAAGTAAAATCTCACTAAAAAAAAAAAAAAATGAAAACACCATTATTGAAAAAGAATGAAAATGTTTGCATTGCTTGAATAAGAGCGGTAGATTTTCGCTTCAAAAAGAGGAAGTCTTACTCTTTTTTGGAGTGAATCTTACGCTAAAAGATATTGAAATCTCACTCCGAGAAAACAGTGAAAATCTGCTACTTTTGTTCACGAGTGCAAATATTTTCAATTTTTTAAAATAGTGGTAGCATTTCATTCTTTTGGAGTGAGATTTTACTCCAAGAAATTTAGAGAGTAGATTATATGACAAGACATAATAAAAAAGATACGTGCTTGCTCGATATTTTCTTGAAACAAAAGGTAAGACAGAGTATAATGCCAAGCATATGTATTTGCGCTTATAACATGTTGAACTTTTAAATTAAACTAAGTTTGTTTCTCTCTTTCTCTCTCATACTCAAACGAAGTAAATTTAAAAACGCGTGCAGTTTAATTATTCCTGCAGCAACTCGATTCACCATTAGAACTTCGTCAACCGTTCACACAGCATCCACTTATCTACAAATGAATATGACGGGAATATTATCGTGACGTTTGCGTTTACACGAGGAACACATCGATCCGTGTTGTCGCGTTCCGCCAAATACGATGCAATCGGAAAACGATAAAGAGGAGCGCCCGCATGCATTCCCGCTTGCGCCACCCGCCTGGAAAGCTGCAAATCGATGGGGTGCGTATTTTATTTAAATTCGCGAGACAAAGAGAGAGAATGAGAGTAGGCGGTGAGTAGGAGAAAGAGAGACAGAACGCGACGCAAATTTGCAATTTCAAAATATTCCAGTGAAAAAGGGAACGCCCGCCCGGTGAGAGGAGGAGAATTGGAGGGATAGGAGGCTGAAGGGATTTAAATCCTCTTGCGTCGTCCTCTCGTCCTCGCGCAATTGTTATTTTAATTCGACTTTTTGTCATTAGCTCGCCGCTAATTCGGCCCAACTCGTCGTGCTTCCATAATGCTTCCTTATCGCCGTTCTCTTTTCTCTCTGTTGGCTCTCTGCTCTGCCTCTCTCTTTTTCTCTCGTTTAGTCACAGTCTCATTAAAACGATGTCAGATTGGCGACAGAGTGCTCAGACGTCTGGAGTGCATACAACTCCTGCCGGTTTAAGAGTAAAAAAATTACTTTGTGCTCAAGCAAGTGAGAGTCCTTCTTGTCCGTTCGCTTCACTGGAAAATGTGCATTTTCTCGATTTAGCGAATTAATACGCAACACAAAGCAGCGTTGTTATTGGGTGTCTTGGACAAATAAAAGTGATACAACAGAGCACTCAGTATATTATCAATATCACTCTCAACTATAAAAAAAATTTATAAAAGTAAATTAAGCAGATAAAGTTACATTTAATTGATAATGTATCAACTTTTGAAATTTTAATATTTTAAGATAATTTAAAATATTAAACTGTTTTAATAGCGCCACAATATTAGTGATAAATAATTAATGTATTTATTATTATAAATAATTAATATCTAAACTGACATCAATTCTGAAATTATTAACAATTTTCTGCAAATATTTTGGTATTTTAATTTTTACAAAATCTATTATAATATAAATTATCTCAATATTCTATAATACTTCACTAAACCTGCAGTGTGTGTTTTTTATATACAATACAATAAATAAAAATTAAATTGACTAAGCAATTTTATCTGCCCATTTGAAAGTACCATGAACAAAAAGTCATCAATCTTTTACTGATGAGGTTCAGGAACGTATACAGAAGCATGAGATCACGATGTTTCCAAAATTCATCAAAGGCACAAAAGTTGCACTTTTTTCTCACAATGTAACGACTATTTAAATGCAGAAAGGAGATAAAAGTTGCAAACGTGTTTGCCACAAACGCGACAATTCATGTATCTGTGCTATCGGCACCTAGAGGTCTCGAGCTAAGCACGAACGTGTGGATAGACGAGAACGTGATAGCTGAGGAAATGAAGAAAAATAACGTATCCTGCCGACGAACAACAACGCCGGCTCGTCGCGACAGGACGGCGGCGTCGACGGTTGCGTTCCTACAAAAGCAATGACGACGTGGCCTGTGGGCTCGTTGAATATTTCATAGGGTAGCCACCACGAAGAGAACCGCGGTGTTCAACCCATTCCTCTGTCTAAGCGCGCCCAGTTGCCGTTCATTTTTAAGCTCATGGCGCACATGGTGCAAAAAGACACGAGCCCTTTTGTTGCGGTCAAGTGTCTGAGAAAAATGACAAAATGCTTAGTTAGGTTTGACAAACTTCAGTAAATTTTTGTAACACTATTTATAGTTAATAAAAAGAAATGTATCCTGAAAACATAATGAAATGTATATTATTGTACAAAATGAGTCAATTATTTGTCAAAATAGACATTAATTATTATTTTTATTAATTGTATTTAAAAAATTTGTTAATTGTTAGGTAAAATCATAAAATGTATTGTAAATGCGCATTCTTTTAAATTTAATAGAAGGTAGTGATTTATTTAGCATTAAACAACTATTTTTATATTTAAAATATAAATAAGTAATTAATTATTATTTTCCAGTAAACTGGTTAGTATTAAGTTAAATTTTCGTAAGGCCGGTGTTCATTGTCGGTTCTTATATTTAAGAGAAAAGGAGAGACCTTTAGACCTTAAAATGTCATGAACCAATCAGAATCGTATTGGCATCTTTACCTGAAACAGTCTTAAAATAAGAATCGACTCTGAATACCGGCCTATAGGCTATTCGAAAATAAGCAGTGATATTTGTGAAACTAGTAAATATAGTGATTTTTAGTAGAAGATAATCTAGCTCTAAAGTTCTGTCCTTCCGACACTAGTGCAGCAGCACTTATATAGCTTCAAGACGTTCTCTGTCCTTAGAATATGACGTGGTGCAAAAATTATTAAGTTCTCATCGTGATGTATGGATCCGTAATAATTTAATTTTATTATTAACGTTAGTTTAAGATGTTTAGTGAGTAATTGTGTTATTTCAGGAATCTGTTGTAAATAAAGGATTGTTAATATAATATGGAAAAGCATTAAGTATAAAGTGGTTGAAGAATTCGAGAATTTTTATGCAGCCCACGTGAGTAGTCACGTTTTTATAATAATATCTTGTTTTCATGATATTTATGGATCGTTGTGAAATATTTCTCATGCCTATATTCTCGATACTTTTCTACAAATATTTTTTGGATCGGCCGACCAACTAAGAAACATTTTTCTGAAATACGTAGTGTTGTAAAGAATTTTTATTGACCATTTCTGTTAGACAGTTTTCAAATTTTTTCTTTATAATATCTAATCTTAAAGGTATATGATAAGTAAGCAATTACTTCTTCGATAAATACTTGTATGTTCCAATAGCGTAATGCCATTTCATTGGAAGATAAAATTTATATTTTTTCAAACATTAGAAGACGTGATATATAATTATATTTTTTTATTGTTGAAAGATTAATTTTACAATCATTTTTTTCAGTTTTAAATTTATTTTAGTTTCATTTTTAATTAAAATTGTGAGCAATTTAGATTTATTCGTTTTTTAAAGTATTTAGAATACTTCGTTTTTCAAAGACTACAATTTGTTTTATAATAATTTCATCAAGTTTTATTAAGAATTATTATATTATTTAGATGCAACTATTTTTGATGACTTCTAATTGAAGAAATTCATCTTTTATTGATTGTAAAAATTTATTTTTAATTTAAATAATTTGCTTTAATCTAAACAAATTACAAAGTTTTGCATAAATAACAATGATTAATTAATTTATTGAGTGTTATTATTCACAACTAACGTTGCGTGCACGATATTTATTATTTTCTGTATAAGAAAAAAGAGTAACTTTTCAGACATCTTTTTCTCAAAGTTCAGGTATCTAGAATATTGCAGTCATTCTTTACCTGACTGTCATCTACAACGATTTTAGATTAATATCGTACATACAATAATCCAAGTAACTTCAAACATAAAGCTAGCACTATTCTGGACTATGCAAGATAGCACGCGCTGTAACTTGCAACTGCGTGCAATGAGATATCTTCTGTGTGTGCCACGGGCTTTATTCTGCCTCTCGTACCGAGCCACGTGTATACCGGTAAAACGAGCTAGGGTGGCACACGTACGAAGCGAAGCTTACAGAGAACGGAGGCGAGCGGAAACGCCCGCTCGTAACGGAACCGAAGTGGTTGTCGGGGAATTTGCAATTCCCATCGGGCATTCAGCCGCTCTCTCGAATTTTGGAAAATTCCATCGCGAAACCCCGGCGGGTCGGTTAAATCGCGCTACTTACATCGATCGATCGCGCAACGAAGCAGCTAACCCTCTGGCGTTCAAGACACGCTTCATTGTGATTTGAATCTAAACGATCTGCGAGATGGTGATACATCATCTAATACTATCGTATAATTTATACAAGATAAAATAAGGAATACTAAAATTCTTGAACAAAAGTGCGTGCATTATATTTAATAAATGTAAAATAAGTAAATAAATAAAAAACGATACATCGCTCATTTGCAGCAGAATTTAAAAAAGACAATTCTTTAATTGCTTACAAAAAAAGGAAAAACAAAGAAAAAAAAGGAAAGAACATAATTATTTTTCTATAATTAGTTATCACATTAAAATTGTATTGTAAAATATTATCAAATTTTAATAATTCAAAACGTTTAAACTTATTTTCTGGAGAACTATTTTTTCAATTATGTTGTTACAATAAATAAGCAATATATAAAATTGATAATAAAGTAAATTAAAGAATATAAAAAATAAATAAATAAAATTTATAAGATATAATATAATCGTTATATTTTCATTTTTTATTAGATATTTTTTAAACTTTATAAAAATTAATATTATATAAAAGTAAACAATATTAATTAATAAGCTCGCTTCTTCTTAAAAAAAAAAAACATCTTTAATTACATTAGAAAAAACGACACACTATATTAACAAATTAAAAAAATTGTTAACAATACAACATTAATCTAACAAGGAATATAATAAAAGACATGAAAAGAATCATCATTCTACAATTATTTTCTCAAAACTATTAAATGAATATTCTTTTCCATTGTTGACTCATTCTTTTTTTTTTCTACCCATCTAGAATATTATTGAACTACATTCCACTAAAGCAAGAATAGCTTTCGGCTAATTCTAGAACGTGCTCTTTTATCAGGAAATGGTACGCTTTTGAAACCACCTCACTCAACTTTCGAGAAGATACAATACAAAACTCACCATGCGCGTGAAATAAGTTCTTCGGAAAAAGAGAGAAAGGAAGAAAAAGAAAGAGAAAAAGGAGTAGACTAAGTCTTCATGAATAATGTTTGTTCGTTAGGTCGTTATTTCATTTATGTATGTTTAGATATCGTACTACAAATTTTTTAAGTCTGATTGGCTGTGTCCGAAGATCTCTTTGTCCTGCACACATTTATCGTACGATAAAAATGCACAAACATAGCATCTTTAATCGGAGCGTAAATAAAAGCTGTGATTGTTTATTAAAGCGTTGGATTGCTAAAAATTTTTCAGAAAATTCAAGTTCAAAGAACAGTAATGGAGACATCCAAGCTGCTTCTTATAATCCTTATCAGCACGACTCTGATTTTATATTTTACGTTTTTGTCGTGGAAAATACAGTAGCCAATGGCGGCTAATAAAGTGACGAGTGGCGAGGCCAAGTAATTGATATATCTCGACTCGTGTGATCGTTCAACCCCGATTGTATTTCTGACGTCAGGCCAAGCCGTGACCATTAGTTAGTTGGTACTTCCTCACGGCTCGTCTGACTTATCGGCAGAAGGGTCAGGTGGCCGTGAAATCTTGGTGAATTTATATGGTTGATTGCTTTATATTAAGCAGCTAACCAATATTAAGTAAATGCTCTTCTGTTAAAATACACTTTAGGCGATTTATAATATTCACATCAAATTTCGAGATATAATTCTATTCATGTTGTGTATTTGTAGTGTATTTTGATAAGCGTGTATATAGTTTAATATGTACTTATTTCATATTGCGTGTACTTTTTAAATATTTTTCATCAAATTACACGATACATAAAATTATTAGAATTTTAGCCTAAATTGTAACACAAATTCTAAAGTGGATTTAAAAATATAATTACCGCTTTCAATCATTTCAATTAGAAGTTAGTAAATATACATACATACTATATTTGATATTCAAATCAATAAATTAAACGAGATGTTATCAGAAGTAATAAAAAAAAATTAAAACCATTCATTCGCTTCGTATGAAGTATAATGATAAAAAAATCAATCAATCTTGTTTAAAAATCTATCGTACTTTATTTAATAATGTCTTATAAGAATATAGTAAAGTGTGTAGATATCTAATAATTGCATTCGTATTGTATCGATAAATAAAAATGTTAGTACACTTTCATTCATTTATTTTGGTCATACAATCAATAGTGAAAAATTGTTAAATTGATTTTCCTTAATAATCTATGTTGTTTCTCGTAGCGTATTGCAATTAAAAATAAAATTTCCGATCACAATACATTAATTCTACAAAAGCGTTCGGGAGTCAAGAGGAATTGACGTATTTTAAACATATTGCAAGTGGGAAAACCAGAGGAAGAATTCTATCATCGCGCGCTGTGTTTCCGGCTGCAGAATATCAGACGCACGCGAAAACGCGGTATAATTCATTCTCAGTTTCGACGCACGATTTGTCATCCGCTTGGAATACAATTCGTGCTATATTATGGTGCCGCAACTGCTATGGTAGAATTTCTAGATTTCATGATACAAAATTTCTTCGTGTGGATAATTCTCTAACAACGTCTTATAATATAATTATAATCTTAATGTAATATTAAATTTTTTATTATGACATTCAAATTGTAATTTTAAAGATAAAAAGTACCTATTTAACTTATTCCTAAAATTATTTGACAGAACTTTTTATTTATTTATAATATATTCCTCAATCAATGACTTTTACCGAATTTTTATTTCCTTTTCTAGAATTTTTAATTTTACTTTTAAAATTGATTCAATTTCTTTTAATATTAAGATATGTCGTGTTATTTGATTATAATTATTTTAACAAAGTATTTCCTTGCTTATATTAAGTAAAAAATGCGTTTTAAACTTTAGTCTTCAGTAACAAACAGAGAATAAATCTTCGTCCCAGAGCATTACATATTGCGTTACCTGTATAAAGCTCTCTTGACCAAAAATACGTTTCATTATTTTCAATATTTCAAAATATTACACAATATTACACTTCATCAGAATAGGGACTAACGAAACACTTGTTTCAAAAAATTTTGAGACATAAAATGGCAATATAAATTTCTATCCTATTCTAATTCATTCACTACTTACGTTGACTATTATCCGTTGTTGAGCGCTCGCTGTATATTAAATAAAAATCAAGTATGTGAATATGTAAGGATATAAATTTTAATAAAAGAATTAACAATTTTGCATGTAAAATTGCATGAAAAGCATTATTTTAAATAAAAAATAATTTTCTGCAGATTTTTATAAGAATTAATATTATCTATGTTAAATATACACGGAGAAAATTTTATATTAAGTTTTAATACAATTTTAAATTACATTTTACTATGTCTTGTATATTTTCGGATGAACCCTCACAATAATATTCCGACATAACTTTTACTATGGTAATACTAATTTTATCACATAAATGAAGTACTTTTTATTAAATGTAGTACTTAAGTCATGGAAAGAGTTAATTTTTACCATGGTACGCACAAGCAAAAAAAAAATATTTACTAGATTATTTATATATTCTTTATCTTTACGATACTAACTTTTATTCAACAAGGTGTGATTTTGTAATAAAAAATGTTTACTATAAAAAAGAGTAAAAATTACTTTATATTAATGTTTTTAAAAAAATGGTAATAGCATTTAAACTTATAATTACACGATGGTCCGCAGCTTCTACCACATTATATAGTAATTTTAAATATAAAATTTTCTCCAGTAGGTACCTCCTACAGACAAATATTCTAATGTTATTGTAATCTTAGTTATTTTTTTGTTCGTTTGTAACATACATATATGTATGTACATGCAACTTCTACATATGCGACTATATGTTCCTACTATAATTAATATTAATATTTTAGTGTACCTATTAAAATTTTAATTTTAATGGGTTTTTAATTTAATTAGTTGTATCATTTTTAAACTTCCAAGAGTAATAACTAAAATTTGGCTCTCATCGCATTGTCTAACAATAGATCAGTTTATAAATATTGTACTTTGATACAATATTATATTATAAAAAAGAAACTAATTAGACACTATATAGACGATTCACAAAGGTTTATGGATTCTAGCTATTGTACTGAAATTAATATAATGTCAACCATGCGGGTGAGAGTATTCACTTATTATTTTATATATAATTTTTATATGTTTAATTTTTTATAATTCCGTACCTTACTATTTTGTTTTAACAACTTGCGATTATTTTCTTCTGAAACATTGATAATGACCTAATAGAGGTCGATTGTCTAATTAAATTATATGTAATTTTAACTAAATGACAATTTTTATTTACTAAAAATTGTATATTCCTTTTTCTTTTTCATTATTTTTAAATTTATTCAGCCTTATCACAAATATTTTAATTTTAGTGTTCTTACTAAAATTAACATTAATATTAAATAAGAGTAATATTATTAATATTATTTTTATTATATTTTACATATTGTAAAATTATATATATCTTTGTTTAAAAAGCACATCTTGTCTTTTATCTTTAGCCAAAATACCCGGCTTTGCTTCATTTCGTGTGTAACTGCAAAACGATGCAAAACCGAATTATAAATTGACGATAAAAATTTTCTCCGTTAAAAATCAAGTAAATCAACCTAGTAGTGTTATGATGATATATTCGTTGAGTTTCTTATGGATATCGTGAGATGTTATTGAAAGAGAGATTTTTTCGCAACAATCATCGTCGAAAAAATAAATTAGAGTATAATCGATAAATACAATAACAAACACCTGACAAACCATTAAGCAAACAATAGAATCGTAGAATGTAAAAGGAACTTAAAAAAAAAGATTAGAGATTAAAACAAAGAGAAAGGCTTGAAATAAGAAGAATAGTTTATTAAAGATCAATATCGGAATAAAAGAGATTGACCAGAAATATCAATTGAATTTAAAACGGCATCCTTCAAAAAGTATTTCTTTCCTTCTTAAACATTTTAGATACATTTATCTAAGTATAGGTACATACATTTATCTAAGTATTTTTACTAAAACTAAACTTTTAGTGCGAGGTTATTCATACACTGAAATCATAAACAAATATTGTATACGTTAAAGAATGGTTAAGACAATTTAAAACTTAGTCATGCAGCATTCGTCAGAATATAATGTGTTGTTTTAACATTTGCTCTCACAGCAAAACCATCAGCTGGATTATCGATATGAAATCTACAAAAAATGATTGTGAAAATGGGGTAACAGATATAATACGTATAAAAAATATATATATACATATAAATGAATAATAGTAGCTTTAATATTACCGTATATTTTTTCAGTTTTTTATATGGAATAATAATAATATATACCTTGCATCCACAAAAATAAAAGCACAGTTATTTAGCGAGGAAGATCCGGATCCTCAAGAAAACGTTGGAGATTTGATTTTAGATGCATTTAAATCCAATCCAAATTTTATCGGACAGGTAACGCTTTCAAACAACAAAAATTACTTTATACTACATAGATAAATAGTAGAAATATTCGTTAATAATAAAATAAAATATTACTAAATATTATAAATGCAACATATTAATAATACAACTCGCAGGTGAATGCGGAGACGGGAGAACAGCTTACATTTCAACAAATGAGAAAGAATAGTGTGAAATGTGCATTATGGCTAAAAGGAAAAGGTATAAAAAAAGGTGATGTAGTAGCAATATGCACACGCAATTCATCAGCCGTTTATGCGCCGTTTTTAGCGAGCATATATATCGGCGCTATTGTAAATCCGTGGGAGGAAAAGTATTTCGCAAGTAAATTTACCGAAATTTTCGAAATTTAGCAAATAATTTGTTTTCACATCAATGCCTATTTATAATATTTAAATGTCTTCTATTTGATCAAATGTTTTTAGATAATGTACGAGTCATGTACTTCTTGGTAAAAAATGAACCAGATCTAATTTTCATTGATTATGACCACTTTATTGAGCTTCTTTTAGCCATAACAATTTTAAAACATATTAAAAAAGTAATTAAAGTAGTAACCATTGGTAAGGTTGAATCTTCAATCTTCACATTTAACAATCTGGAAACTATTCTGAATGACGACTTTGATAAGACTGAAATTGACATGTTTTCCTGCGAGAAAAATGATATAAGGGATATCGCAATAAGAACATTTTGTTCTTCTGCAACGGATTACAGTAAAGATAGCGTAGAAATTCCTTACATATCGTTCGTATCCCCGTCAAACAAACAGACACCTGTTATGTCTCCCGGTAAAATTGGCCTATGGTACGGATCTTTATGTTGGACTCACGGTTCGCTTTTGACCGTTCACGCTATACTTTCACATGTAACAGCGATAAAATCTGTAGTACAAACCATGGAAAATTTTGTAAAGGTCATAAACAAGTATAAGGTAAAATATATGAAAATATCCGAATTGGCTTTGTTTGTGTGTGTGTGTGTGTGTGTGTGTGTGTGTGTGTGTGTGTGTGTGTGTGTGTGTGTGTGTGTGTGGGTGGGTGCGTGAGTGCGCGTGTGAGAGAGAGAGAGAGAGAGAGAGAGAGAATATATCTGTTGTCTCCATATGTTTTAGGTTACATGGGCATTTCTTGACAGCGTTACGTGCAATCAATTGTTCCAATTTAAATTAAACCATTCAATTTGTTTAAATTCCACCTTACTTTCTGTATCTACTTTGAAGACACTACTATTCGATTATTGGGAGATAAATATTCACGCAAATCATTTTGCGATTTGGCAATGCATTCCTATCATTCGAGTATACAGTGTGTAAATTGTTATAATAACATTTGTAATCAAGGATAATAAAATTGTAAAAAATTAAAAACTAATAATTCATAAAATATGAGTTTTACAATGGATACTATTTCAGGTACACCAGAAACTGGCGTCATTATTTATCGAAAAGAAGCAGATGATAAAGAAGAAAATTATATAAATTGTTTACCAAAAAATGTTCAAATAGCAATCATTGATAATTACAACATCGAAAAACAATTGAGGCCGTACGAACATGGTGTGATTTGTTGCAAAACACCGTATATACCTTACATCGATGATGAAAGAATGCAACGTACGTGAAACAAATATTGACTCAGTAATACAAAATAGCTTCTTTTTGATTAATATCATAACTATTATAATTAATCAATATTAAATAGCTCATAAGAGAAAACCGTACATATTACAACAAAACCAATATAATGCTTTTAACGGTCTAGCTGGATCTTAGGTGCTTGTATAATTCCGTGTGAATTTATTACATATGTGTAGTACTTTACTGAATTAATTATTGTAATCCTTTAAATTGCGTATTGAACAATTTTTTGATCTTGAAATGCAAGCTCTATTAAACTACCACACCACAGTAATATAACGAATTAAATTGATTAGTAATTTAACTCGTGATATTACTACGGTAGTTTAGTAAAGTTTGCATTTCAAGATCGAAAAATTGTTTGATGCGCAGTTTAAAGGTCTACATAGTATATATATGGTACATAATAAATTTACACGGAATTATACGAGCACCTAAGATTCGACTAAATCGTTAAAGGCATTTCTCATTATAATTATATATGATTTGTAATATAGTTTAAATTTGGAAATTACAAACAATCGCAAACAATTAATGAAGAAACATTAATACAATGTTTTGTTTATATTGCATGTCCTACAGTATGGCATTTTACTGAAAATATTGGTTTCTATGATGAGAATGGCACAATTAACGTCACTAAGTATTCTATACGATCCAGCCACGAAACTAATTACTGCAGATATAAAAAATATTTATTATCAACAAAATATATTGAGAAATTGTTATTACTCCATCCGGCTGTTTCCGAGGCTATTGTAGTAGCTGTGAAGCATCCTATTGATGGTCAGCACCCAAGAGCGTATGTTCAGACAAAATCGGAAATTAAGGTTTATAAAGCTAGTTATTTCTTTTCGTAAAGCCGAAAAAAATTGTTTGTAAAACGTTCACGCTGTGTCTAGGTGACAAAAGAAGAACTAATGGAGTTTTTGGCAAACCATGCACCCGACAGTCATAAACTACGCGGAGGCGTATGCTTCATTACACATGATATTCGACGGCTGCCTAATGGACAAGTTGATCGAAATATATTTATTCAAAATTTATGATTTAGAAATGAACGATAGTCTATTGTTCTTTTATTTATCAGTAGAAAAAAATATACATATGATAATTAATTTTATACTAATGACAATAATACAACGCTATTTGTAATACTTTATGTAGGGTAAACCCGGTATATACGCCGCACCTATCGAAAACTTAATTTATCAATTATTATTTACTATGTTTAAAGTAAATTAATTATATAAATAGAAACTTTGTATCATCTACTACTGTAAAAAAAATATTAGAAATCTAAAATAATTTATTTTCCATATTAAAAAGTAACTTTTTCAAACCCCTGCATTTTTGCCATTTATCCCATAGAGGGGGGATAATATGGCCACTCATATATAATTCATAAAAAAATCACAAATAATCTATAAATAAGATGTAAAATGACGACGTAACTTGCATTGTTTATTAATATATAACAATTTTTATTGTTCAGAATGAAAATTGGAATACAAATAGGACTTAATACAATTTTTTTAAATAGCTTCAATCTTTGAAAATAATCTTTAAACGTTTAAGATTTATCAACATTTATGCATTAATGCAAATTATAATTGTTAGAATTAACAAAAACTTCTTAAATAGAGCGTCTGTGCTGCGGCACAGCATCCCGCTCGCTAAAAATGCCGTATATCCCAAATAGATGGGATATATATGACAACTAATTAAACAAACAATACAGGAGCAAAGCACTTGTATTTTGCTATACAACATGCTTTACTATTTCTCTACACATATGTATTGCAAAATAACCACTAAGTCTTTTACACGCTCTACAATAATCATTTTATGTAGATTATAAATTATGATGGCACTACTTATTACAGTCAAAAATCGATTTAACTCGCAATAATTTCATTAATATTAACAGTAAAGAACTGAAATCATAACATAATACTAATATACCATAAAGGCATGTAACAAAGTAATTGACGGAAAATTATCCCTACTCCTATTTTTTTTTACTTCTGCGGCGTATTTCCTGACGCGGCGTATATACCGGGTTTACCCTACATAAAATATAATACTGAAAATATAAAATTCCATTACAGATGTTTTTCATATAACAAAGATTACATAGCTTTTGAGATTAGATTTTATTACATATCTTAAAAATTACCATCTCTTAAAAATTAAAATAAAACTATGGTGAACATTATGATTAATGGTAAATGACATACAGTACATCAAATGGAGTATTGCCATGACATTGTTACGCTCGACAAACGATATATTTTCTGTAAATGAAAAGATTAACGATGATTTTTGCAAAATTTTATCATTAAAATATAAAGCTTTATATTTTAATAATAAAATTTCAATCAAACAGTTTCATCAATACAACACAAAAACTAGAGCTCGGAAAAGGAACCGGGTAATGTAATATTCGAATAAATCTATCCGCCCATAGATCCGTGGCTTTGGATCGGATATTAATCTACTAATTCGGATACTCGCGAAATTTCGTGTATTACAAACTGTGTGTATTACAGGTACTCCTGGAATCGTGAGCGATATGGATACCTATGTCGATGTGATTTGCGATTCGCTATATGTTACAGATATCTGTGTGGCGGATACTTGAGTACTCGAGTATTCCGAGCTCTATCAAAAACAGCACATTATAATTATATACCATATATAATTACATAATTATATTATATATATATTAATTGATATAATTATATTTATATTAACATAATTATAACATAATGCATAAATAGTGTACAAAGTAACCATATTAATGTATTATAATAAATAATAAAATCGCAGGATTTATATAGAATTTTTGTATGTATATTATAAAATAGGTATATATTGTCTCTTTATGACATAAATTACAATACTTTCGCATGTCCATCTACGAAAAAGTTATAAAGTATGTTCTCTTCGATGCAATAAATTGGGAAATTAATCTCTATAATGGTTATAAGAAAATCAATTCATTTTTACATCAAACATTTTCATATTATAGAAAAAATAAAAGAACATTTGTGAGAAACTGGCAGAACACAGACTTTCAAGTAGCAAGAAAATAGTAGATAACGTATTCATATGTTAAAATTATAATAATGTCATAAAATAAAACTGATACAAAATAAACATTTTTATATAAAAACAATTTTAAATAAAAAATTCTTCAAAACTGAAAAATGTGCATTAAAAACATTACCAATTTTTAGAAAATATTTTTATTGCAAAACAACAAATGTCAAAGCTGTAACTGAGCCAGATTTTCGACAGTAGAATTTGGAAAACACGTATTTTTATAATTTGGGCCACTATCGACACATCTATACTTCGATCTAATTTATCATCATCATATCTTAAAATTGGCGTGTCACGCTTTTTTGAAGCCTCTATTCGTTGAGGCTGTTGGTATTCTCTGATTTTGATATGGTTCCGTATCCGGGGGTTTTCGGGGTCGAATATTTCGAATCTGTACTCAAAAATTGAAAATTCGAACTGGTTGATCCAATATGGCGGACGTAAAATTAATGGAAATTTTAAAGATTTTTCGACTTTGGTGTGGTTGCGTATACGGGGGTATTCGGGGTCGATAATTACGAATCTGAACTCAAAAATTGGAAAATCGAACTGGTGGATCCAATATGGCGGACGGAAAAGTAACGGAAATCATAAAGATTGTTCGATTTTTGTGAAATTAGGTATATTGGTGATTTAGGGGGTGTTCGATACGAATCTTTACTCAAAAATTGAAAATTCGAAATAGTTGATCCAATATGGCGGACGGAGATGTTACTGAAATCCTTAAGATTCTTCGATTTTGTTGAAATTTGGTTACAGGTGGTTTTTGGGGACGTTCGTTACGAATCCGTATTTAAAACTTGAAAGTTTAAAATGGCGTTTTGATTCAGTCTTCTAAAATCTGTTTTCGTCAATCTGGCGGATAGAATATAAAGGGGATTTTGGTTTTAGTGTGTGTTTTTGAAGTAGAATTTAAATTAACAAAAAAAAGCCCTTGAAGAATATGTACTTGATTTTTCACTTGCTGCTATTTTTCTTTGAAAAATGGATGGACGTGCCGTGCCAACTTTAGTCTTAATAAAGTCAGCACAGCCACACTGTGGATCGAATCCTTCGACATAAACGATGAGCAAAAAAAATCGGATTCTGGATATTCTTAGAGCAAATAATTCTAGAAACATTTTGAGACCAAAAT